GTAAAACTGGAGAAGCGCATACTCTCAGATGAACACCAGGGGGCAGTGATACATTAAAAACAACCTCCAACAACAACGCTGACAAATGAATTTTTGTGCCAAGTATATATACACGAGGAAAACTGTTGTTGATTTACACAAATCGTTTGAACTATAGAACTGTTGCTGCACAATTTACAATTTTTTTTATTAGTATCCCTACAATTTGCATTGTTCCCTAGGATGACAGTGCTTATTTTTTTGTTCAGCTGTATTTTATCATTATAAATTTATTGCAAGACTACCTACATTTTTGGAGTGAATATTTCAGATGCCTCATGTTGATCATGCAGAACTATCATATTATGGTCGTGCAGTTACATTTTACATTTACATTTAGCAGACGCTTTTATCCAAAGCGACTTACAAATGAGGACAATAAAGGCAGTCAAAACTAACAAAAGAGCAACAATATGTAAGTGCAAATGACACGTCTCGGTTAGGCTAACGCAGTACACGTAGCAAGGTGTATATATATATATATATATATACACAGGATATATACACACACACACACACACAGAGAAAAACAAGCAGATTTTTTTTTTTATAAAAAGAAGATAAATAGATAAAGTAGAATTAAAATAGAATAGAAAGTGTTAGAGTTAGAGGGTCAAATAAAGACGGAACAGATGTATTTTTAGTCATTTCTTGAAGATGGCTAAGGACTCAGCTGCTCGGACTGAGTTGGGCAGGTCATTCCACCAGGAGGGAACAGTTAATGAAAAAGTCTGTGAAAGTGATTTTGTGCCTCTTTGGGATGGCACAATAATGCATTGTTCACTTGCAGAACGCAAGCTTCTAGAGGGCACATAACTCTGAAGTAATGAATTTAGGTAAAGGGGTGCAGAGCCAGTGGTATTTTTGTAGGCAAACATTAATGCCTTGAATTTTATGTGAGCAGCTATTGGTAGCCAGTGCAAATTGATGAACAGAGGTGTTACATGCGTTCTTTTCGGTTCATTAAAGATTAATCTTGCAGCTGCATTTTGGATTAATTGTAGAAGTTTGATAGAAGTGGCTGGAAGACCTGCCAAGAGAGCATTGCAATAGTCCAGCCTGGACTGAACAAGAGCTTGAACAAGGGGTTGTGTTGCATGTTCTGAAAGAAAGGGCCTGATCTTCCTAATGCTGCATAAAGCAAATCTGCAGAACCGGACAGTTTTAGCAAATGTGGTCTGAGAAATTCAGCTTATCATCAATCACAACTCCAAGGTTTCTAGCTGTTTTTGAAGGAGTTATGGTTGATGAGCCTAACTGGATGGTGACATTTTGATAAAGTGATGGGTTTGTTGAAACCACAAGCAGTTCTGTCTTAGCCATGTTGAGTTGAAGGTGATGGTCCGTCATCCAACAAAAAATGTCTGTTAGACATGCTGAGATGCGAGCAGCTATCGTCGGATCATCAGGATGGAATGAGAGATAGAGTTAAGCATCATCAGCATAGCAGTGATATGAAAAGCTATGTTTCTGAATGACAGAACCTAGTGATGCCATGTAGACAAAGAAGAGAAGTGGTTCAAGAACTGAGCCCTGAGGCACCCCAGTAGCTAGATGTTGCGACTTGGACACCTCACCTCTCTAAGATACCTTGAAGGATCTAGCTGAGAGGTAAGAATCAAACCACTGGCATGTGGTTCCTGAGATGCCATTTTCCAATAGGGTTGACAGGAGAATCTGGTGGTTCACCGTATCAAAAGCAGTGGACAGATCCAGCAAGATAAGTTTAGAAGATTTGGAAGCCTCTCTTGCCAGTCTTAGGGCTTAAACAACTGAGAGAAAGGCAGTCTCAGTCGAATGTCCACTTCTGAAGCCAGACTGGTTGCTGTTCAGTTATCTATAACTCTTCCAGGCGCCAATCCAAGAATTGTGCATACTAGCCTGGAAAGGAAAGAGAGGTCAGCATGCTGACTCAAACTGGCACAGCCAAAAGGTGTCTTGCCATTTGGAAAAGCTTAGCCTGTTTTTAAACTTCAACTGTACCACAAATCAGTTGGTTGAATTTGGTTTTATTAAACTGAATGATTTGATGTTGACTCAAGGGTTTGTGTAATGTTGATTGGCTTAGTCCCTCCAGGACGCTTGATTGATTTCTGGAGAAATGATCAAGGACATCACAAATTAGCACTTATGCTCTTTTGTTCTCAAGTTTTTACTACTCTCACATCTTCTCTGATTTCATTAACATACTGAGGAATG